ATACTTGTGCTATGAAAGGAACTTGATTTGTTGTTAACATAAGTTATAATCATGAATGCCTGACAACATTTACAAGTATTAGCATTATTCAAATAAGATAATTATTGTAATCATGTTAACTATTTATAATTTAATTAGAACTTTCTTTGTGTATAATTTCCAATTGAGTAATAAAAAAGAGTTTATATTATACTTATTTGAAATACCATTAGTAGTTCCTATAACCTTAACATTTGTTTTTATCATTGTTTAATTCTCACATTAATCTTATAATTTCAAAGTCTTCTTTAACCTCTTCTTCTTCTTTATCTTATTATTGTTGTTGTTGTTGTTGTTTATAATTTATATAGCTAACCTCCCTATGGTTCGACCCCAATCTTATCGGGATATTTATTACGTCGACACTCTTACACTTGAAAGAAGACATCAATCTTTTAGTCATATCAGTGTCGAAACTCTCAAAGACCATGAACACTATAAATATGGTGAGACACCTCAAATATTTATGTTTTCGCTTGTTAAAGGGTTATTATAATTGTTTATATAGAAAAAACTAGAAAACCCTAATAATATTGAATAAGAGAAATAAATTAGAAGATACATTTCCTTTAAATAGGAAAAAAAAACTAGAAAAACATCATAATAAAGAATAGAAAAAAACTTTTTTTTTTAAAAAAAAGCTTTTATATCAATCTTTCTAGTTTGAAAGGAACTCATTCTTGAGTTTAGTATTAAGTTGAAAATTATCCTTCATTAAGAGCATTATTTTTATGAGCAAGCTACCCCATTATGGGTTTATAACACCTTTGTATGAGACACCTTATCATATGTCCTCACCACAATATTTTGTGTGAGTCACCTCGTGTCCCACCACCATGATTTTAAACAGCAACAATTTACATAGATGAAAATAAAATACTAAATCTTGGATGTCTTTTTCACGAGGAAAACATCTTTATCTCCTCTTACACAAGCACATTTTGTTATGCAACCTTTTAAAAATATTATTATTCTACAACGCACAACAAAACAAAAACTAAAACAGATGGTATTTTTATTGTGCATCACTTTACAAAACACTATTCATTACAATAATGTTTTTTTGGCTTTTTTTTTTAATTTTATCTTTTAACATTTGGTTTATTAAAAATTGAGCTTCATAATTTATTACAGTTTGCATTTTATTTGATTACTCAAGTCTCATGACTTGTTTTGCAGATTTAATAAATTAACTTAGTTGTCTTGGGTTTTTTTCTTTTTAAATTGATTTTTTTATTTTTTTTTAAATTTCATCCTTTAATAATAAATTGATTAGGAGTTAGGCTTCATGATTTATTTTTTATTAGGTTATCTCGATTTTATGACTTAGATAACAGGTTTTGATAGTTAACTTGGATCATTTTATTATATCTTTTTTATGTGACTTTTTTAATTTTATTTTTCAGTAATGGATTGATTAATAATTGTACTTCATAATTTATTTTAATTTACTTTACATGGGGTTATAATAGTCTTATGATCTGAATAAGAGGTTTGGCATGATAAACAAAGTTTTTTTTTTTTTTTAGTTTTCTTTATATTAGATTACCTTGGCTTCTTGAACCGAATCATGGGTTTGACAGATTAATCCTGGTTGACTATGATTATTTTTCATTATTTTTTTCAATTTTATCTTTCAATATTGGGTTGATTAGAAATCAAGCTTCGTAATTTATTTTGATTTTCTTTTTTATGGAGTTATTATGGTCTAATGACTTAGGTTGTGGATTTGACAAATTAATCCAAATTGTTTTTTGTCCCTTTTTTAATTGATATATATTTTTTAAAATTTTATCTTTCCATATTATATTGATTGAAAATTAAGGTTTATAATTTAGCACGTTAATCTAAGTTGACTCTAGTTAATCTAATATATTGTTATCTTAATATTTAAAACAAAAGTATATCATCTTGAATTTTTTTAATCAAATTATGTTTTTACTAGTCGTTTAAGTTACCTTTGAATTTATTAAGTTAATTAGATAACATTACGTCAACCCACGTATGATTTTAATTTTTTTTATTGGAATAAATATTAACAATGCTTGAATATTTCTTTGACATTAAAAAAACTACAGCAACCCATAAATAACGAAAACCAACAATCTAGTAACCACCAAGAATTATTTTTTTTCAAACTATATTTGTTTTGCAGCATACACAAAGCAAAATAACTATTAAGAATTGTTAGTATTTAATATGAATTTAATATGAATTGATGAGGACATGAGTCTTCTTGTTAGTATTTAATATGAATTTAATATGAATTGATGAGGACATGAGTGAAGACACACGAGTAAAAAAATATAAAAATTTATCAAATGCCAAAATTCTCTGATTTTAATATCATCATAACTAAATGGAAATATTTAAAATATTTAATTTCTATTTTTCTATGTCTCCTCTTACTGAAATACTATTACAGTAGAAAAACTAGAAAACACTTATATTATCAAGTATTTAAAATATACTAATTTTTTTTCTTTCAATAAAAAAAAATACTAGAAAAATATCACTAAAAAATAGAATTTAAAATTTTTTTTTTATCTATTTTTCTAAAAAATCCCCATGTATAAAAAAAATCTATCAATTTTAGTGTTTTTTTATATAATTATAATGTAATATAATTATAATAAGCTAAGAGATACAATAATAGTTCCAATTAATTTAATCAGCCATTGAAACTTATTCTTATAAAATTTACTAGTATATTGCCATGCTAAAAAAATATTAAGAATATAAAAAATATTTTAATAATATTATTAAACTTAATTAAATGGATTAATTTTTAAATTTATACTCAACTCTTTGCTAGACTTAAGCGCCTAATCCTAACAATCATGTTGGACTCATGTGCTTTTATTTTTGAAAATATAAGAATTTACTTATAATTATTCTAAAAACATATTTATTTTATATTTGCATCTCTATCTTTTTAATTAAATATATTTTTATCTTTTTTATATTTTTTCTTCTATTTTGGGATATTAATCACACACATCCCTAAAATTCCTTATTTTTTTTTATTAATCTCTAATTTTAGTGAAGAAATCATCTATAAAATTATACAAATTAAAATGGTCAAAATGACAATAAGTTTTTTACAAATATAATATTTTCTTTTCCTATTACATAATATATCAATTCAAAAATTCAAAAGTTTTATCTTATGATCGTATATATCAATTTTTTTGTATATACTAATAGTTATAATGTAGAATAAACTCTTATTGTAATAAACTTTAACAATTAGATTATGCAATATCTCAAATTTTAAAAAAACATGAACCATTTAAAAAACTATCTGACACTTGGATGAAACATAAAATTAATATTTTTATTCAGAATGCATATAAAAAAAGAAGTTCATATTTGAATACTCGAAATAAATCACTTACAACTCAACATTCTTTTTTTCCATTCTTTCTTCTTTATAAATAACAAATTTATAAAATAAATTGCACAAACAAAAAAGAATTTACAATTAAGTTCAACTATATATAAATGAAAAATTCTACTTATAAAATAAATTACACAAACAAAAAAGAGTTTACAATTAAGTTCAACTGTATATGAATGAAAAATTCTATTTGAATGAGGCCATGTTTGTTTTTGCAGTCCAATAATATTTTTGAAAAATTTTAAATTTTTTGACTTAGATGCGGGTCTAGCAAACTATATTAAATCTAAGGTACGTGAGATTGGAAAACATGTTTGATTTTACAATAAATAAAAATAATAATTATGCACTTTAATTTTTACGAGAGAGAAAAAAAAGAAAAAATATAAACAATTAGTCATTAATGGCAATCCAACCATTATCTGTCTTCATGTATCACATCATGTGGAAGAGGACACGATTGTGTATCCAGTTAGATATGCAGAAAACTAGATTTGCCCATTAAAAAGTATCATATGCATCTCTTTAATAGCGCGACACTACCTACTTGTTAGGACATGAGAAATATACACTTGTAATTTTTTAATTTAAAAATAATAAATATATTGTGAAATACTAAAACACCTTATGGTCCCTTTAATTATACAAAAGATTTATAAAAAAATACTAAAATACCCACTAAAAACAAAGTTTCCTTTTTAAAATTTTTTAAGCTAAAAGCATTATTGTATTTAAAAATTAAAAAAACCTAAATATTTTTGTGGAAAAGACCTAAAAAATATTTATCTACTTATAAAAAAATAAAAAATAAAAAATAAAAAATAAAAAATAAAAAATAAAACTATAATTACAATTTATAATAAAAAATTTATTGATGTACAATGATTTATTTTTCCGAACATTTAACTTTTGTTATAATTTTAAAAACAGCAGCGCATAAATATTTCGAGCCCACCGAAAAACTTAGATGCGCGGCACACGCGCGCGCCGGCAGAATTGTGCGTGTGGTTCTCAAGTTTAATTTATTTTCTTTTCTCACGTGCTAGTTTAGGGCCTAATTTGCCCTCATCTGCTCGCAGCTGCCTATCCCCAATCCACGCATCTCCCTCCTCTCTCCTTATTCCTGTAACCCTAGCCCTAATGCGAACTTTCTGTTATTTCATTTAGAAACCACGAAATTCTTCACACTGCAACTATAGTGTAATGCGTAGTTGTGCAGGTACATCGAAAATCGAGACTGCTCCAGTTTTCGAATTTGACAATGGAGGATTTGACAGAGACAGAGATTGGGAGCTCTGTCGAATCGTTTCAAAAGTTTTTGGATTCGCAGAGAGAGCTTTTTCACAACCAAATCGATCATCTTCAAAGAATTGTTGTTACTCAATGCAAACTCACCGGCGTCAATCCTCTTTCTCAAGAAATGGTGTGTCTTTTTCCTAATTTCTTTATAAATCATAATTTTTATGGCTTTCCCCCTTGTTATAACCTTTTTTTTTTTTTTAATCTTTTGAAATCATACGCAGGCTGCTGGCGCTCTGTCGATAAAAATTGGTGAGTTTTTTGGGGGCTTCTACCTTACCTTTTTATGAATATACTGTATCGATATGATTCTATTTGTCTTGATAATGATTAAAAGTCTTGTAAAATGGACTGCTGTCGGTCACTACTAACACTGTATGTCGATTCGGCAGGAAAAAGACCCAGAGATTTGATAAACCCTAAGGCTGTCAAGTATATGCAAGAAGTTTTCTCTATCAAAGATGCAATTAGTAAGAAGGAATCACGTGAGATTAGTGCTCAATTCGGTGCTACAGTTACGCAGGTGATTTTCCTTTCTTTATGCTTAAGTCTGGCTTGGGACAAAATTCATGCATTGACTTTCACCATTGCTCTGCATGTATTTACACGAATTTGGAGACATATGCCTTCATTTATATTGATTACTTTTTTGCAATTTTTTCTTGTTTTGATCCAAATTTATTTTTAGCGTCTGGATGTGTATATGTTATTGCTCATGACATGGTGTTGCATCGGCTATAGGTTCGAGATTTTTTTGCAAGCCAGCGAATGAGAGTGAGGAAACTGGTTCGGTTGTCAAGGGAGAAGGCTATTAGAGTTAATGCACACAAAGGACCTCAAGGACCTCAAGATGGGGTCCCAACAACATCTGATGCTTTGATGCCTGTTGATTTGGTTCCCTTGAACTCTGTTGCCCCAAATCCAGTTCCCATGAATTCTGTTAGCCCCAATCCAGCTTCCTTAAATGCTGTTATCCCCAATCCATTTTACTTGAACTCTGTTGCCCCCAATCCTGTTCCCTTAAACTTTGCTAGCCCCAGCTCAGCTCCCTTAAACTTTGCTAGCCCCACTTCATCACCCTTAAACTCTGCTAGCCCAAATCCCGTTCCCTTAATTTCTGTTAGCCCTAATCCAGTTCCCTTAAACCCTGCAAGCCTGAACCCAGTTCCCTTAGACTCTGCTGCCCAGGATCCTGTTCCCTTAAACGCTGTTGGTCCTTCCAGGGTTGATGAAGTACCCTCTTGCTCAACACAGGATGATGTGTTGCCTGGTTTAGATGAATTAGATAAACATTTTGCTGAGAAGATTTTTGATTTGTTGCGGAAAGAAGAAACATTTTCTGGGCAGGTGAAGCTCATGGAATGGATCTTGCAAATACAGACTCCAGCTGTTCTAAATTGGTACTTTGCAACCTGCTATATGTATCTAACAAGATGTGATTTTTTCTCCATTTGCATTTAATCTTTTCCATGCATGTTCCCAGGTTTCTTGTTAAAGGTGGTGTCATGATTTTGGCAACATGGTTAAGTCAAGCAGCTGCTGAAGAACAAACAAGTGTTCTTCTTGTCACCTTGAAGGTAATTGTAAATTTTTATCACTTTCCCTGCAATTTTCTTACCTCATAAACATGCTTAGGATTGCATCTATGGTGTATGCAGGTATTCTGTCATTTACCCCTACATAAAGCTCCTCCTGAACACATGTCAGCTGTACTTCACAGTGTCAATGGACTGCGGTTTTACAGGACTCCAGGTGTACTTTTGTTCAGAGAGTTATGATGTGCCTTTTGATCTTCCTATATTATGCTTCTTGTTCTCTCATTCTTACATATTACATCAGATGTCAGTTTCTAATTACTAATTGATAAATGAACTCCATGGGCTATTTATAATGTTTGTAACTGTTCTTATTGCTCGGGTAGGATAGTTTCTGGTTTTTTTTTCTTTCTCATTATGGATAACAAAGGTCATACCAGTTTGTTATGATTACATATAAAGATATTGTCAACATTCTGGTGCTTTTATTTTTTGTAAACCAATTTGATCACAGACTGCTTCTGTGCTTATCAGACAAATAAGCAAGATGGATGAATTAGCAGTTGTGCTTCCTTTCTTTGTGTATTGTTCGGTATTGACACCATTCTGGCCAGTGTTGCCAAGAGGCGCCGAGGCACTTGCCTAGGCGCTCCATGCAAGGTGAGGCCCCGGCGCCTTTATTAGCCTCATACGTTGGATTTCAATGAGTTACTGCCTAGGCTAGCGCCTTGTGAGTGGGTGCAAGGCGCTAAGGCTAATGCTTGCTTGAAGTTCCTTTTCTGCTGGGTTTTTCTTTTTTTTAATGATATATGTTTTGACCTATTTGTCCATCTTTTTAATTTACCACAAGAAACAACTTAGGGGTATTTTTGTAAAAAACAAAGATTAGGGTAAAAAATTAAAATAAATCATTAAAGTCGGAGACAAACAGACAATTAAGAACACTTAGAAGAGAAACACCAGCCACACTTTCTTTTTTCAACAGTGGGAGTCGGAGAACAACACATCTGTACAGGTAATACTTTATTTTTTTTCTAAACAAGTGCAGTATGGTTTGAGAGATGAGGATTTCGATTATAATCATGAAATGGAGGGTATGGAGGATTCAAGTGAAGGAGAGGAAAGAATGGATGAAGATGTTTTTGAAGATAAATGAATAGTGATGATGATATGTAATTTTGCTTTTTAATCTATTTGGCTACTTGCTACTTTAAATTATCTTATTTTGTTTTAAGGGTGAAAAATGTAACTTTATATGACCATGTTATGGTATTTTATATTTTCTTTTGATTTTCTAATGATCTAATCTTAAATGGGAAGATATATATTTGTTTTTTATATAATATAATATAATATAATATAATATTTATAGCATATTGCCTTGAGTTTTGTATTGTTTGATATGAGATACATCTGTGTGCTTCCTTTCTTTATGTGCCTTGTGATAATTTTGAACCTTATTTATCTGATTTGAAGATCAGACATATCAAACAGGGCCAGGGTTTTGTTATCAAAATGGAGCAAGCTGTTTGCAAAAAGTCAAGCAATCAAAAAACCCAACGGCATAAAGTCGTCTACAGATGCACAGGACATGATTTTGAAGCAGAGGTAAGTTCATGTGATTACCTCCTATACTTGCAAGATTTGTTTAGTCAAATCTCATCTTTTGGCTCTAATTTTGTGCAGCATTGATGAAATTATGGGCAATGAATCATGGCAGTGTGATATTGGTAATCCTGTAAGTTTTATGCACAATCAGTTGCTGCTCAAAAGTTGACTGATGTTATAGGACTTCTCTAATAGCTTTTATTCTGAACAGGATGGTGTTCTTGCTCTCTCATCCGAAAGCTCTGAAAATATCAGGTATTGATATGTTTTTTTTTTAGAAAGCTCTGAAAATATCAGGTATTGATATATATATATTTTTTTTTTAACTTGTTATTGGTGTTTGTTGGGGGCCTTTAGCCTAAATTTCTTTGTTTTTAGGAAAATTGAGTCTTCGCAAGCATTGAAGCTGTTGCCTGCATCAACAGATGATTTGAGCAGGAAGCACATTCTAGGCACATCTTCATCCCGTATCCTCAGAATTTTTTTTTTTAAGTGGTGCATTACAATTTCTCTGGCATTTGAAGGAAAATTGATTGACTTATCTTTTCCTTGGTTAACTGATGAAGCTCTTGCTTACATCATCATATAGTTTCATCCATCTCTTAGTGCATGCTTGTTTTACACACAGTAAACTGGTCACTGCATTATTAAATGAAAAGTCCAAAATTCTTACCATTTTATCTATGATATAAACAATGGCCTGGGACATACCTTGTCAAAGTATTCACCATTAGGTTAAATATATTTTCCTGACAGTCTTAGGGTTTAAAAGCTTAGCTTAGGAAACTTGTATGGCAAGAACTGATACATGCTCTACTCTTTTCACCCATGCTAGCTGTTACAGTGATTATAATGGTGAGGGCAGCCCTAAACCACTGACTTGTATTAGCTTTTAGTTGATATTGATCTACTGTGTTTTATTATTGGTTTCCCCCAGAGCTGGCACATGGAGTAAGAGAGGAATTTGATTATGCATTTGCTTGTACAGGATTGGTTGTTCTTCTGGATTTGTCCTTTTCTTTACCAGGAAAAGAGTCCAAATCAACTGAAGCGATTGATGATCTTTAAGCTTTTTTATAATGTTTCCGTTGTAATATTTACATGATACAATGCAGCAAGGAAATCATTTGATGCTACATGGGCAAGTCAGTTCAGTTACCTGGACAAGCTTATCTGGTTGCCTTTTGTAGACATGTAATTGGTAAAACCACCTTTTTGCTCCTATGCTTGTAGCAAATGGTTTTCTTACCCCTGCATTTCAAATTTGGTTGATTGACACCAAAATTGACAAAATGTTGGTCAATTTGTCCCAATCAATAAATGAATTGCCTTCTTTTGAAAACTACAGCAGCCTCAACACCAGGATCTTTGTTGTCTGGCCAGTTTCAGGGTCATTTGGTGGTGGAAATGGTGGCGAGCTAGAAGTGAACATCATCAACATGTAGGAGGGATTTTTTCAAAACATTTGATTGAGTACTTCAATTTTTTAAATGTGCAATTTTCTTCTGTTGTAACAGCCTATTTAACTGCAATTATTGATTTCAGCCAATTGACCAACATTTTATCGAGTTTGGTGTCAATCAACCAAATTTTAATGCAGGTGGCAAAATCATGTTATAGTCTAGCTGATTATAAAAACGAAATTAATCAGTTCCTTAGTGATGCTGGCGATGATTTCAAGTTAATTATCTTGCTATATGTTTGGTGAAATCTCACACAAAAGTTATATTGCTTTGGAATATGCGGAAATTCTCACATAATCTCCGTACTTTTTAAGTAATGAATGAGCAACATTAATCTGACTGACAATCTCAAAATATTTGAATTTCTTGTAGCTATTAATTGATAGATTTTGCTTATTATCAAATTTAAGGTATAAGTATGGCAGTAAATTGTCATTTGTTCAATTATCTTTGCAGTTCTTATGTGAACAAATCAACTAAAATGTATATTTGAAGTTTTTGTTCTTATATCTGTGGTCCATGGGTTTCTTGCCAGCTTCTTGTCAGTTTCATGATGGAAAACCCCTTCAGCAACCCATTTGGGGGCATAACCTTCAGAAATTGTTGGTTGTGTTAATGGTTTATGTGGAATCCTGGTTGAATGGTTGATAAAGTCGTGATTTTTGCTTAGTCATTTTGACTGATCAATTTTACCTCATCCCAGATATATTGCTTGAAGTGCAAGAGCACTTTTGATTGTTGTTCTATTTGTTTTACCTTTTGTTTGTCAAAGATTGGTCTCAGATGTATTCATTTATCAAGCTTCTCTGTTTTTCGTTTTCAGCTGGCGCCTAAAAATTAAAAGCTCCTAAGGGATTTTATTTTCTTGGAATTGGAAATAATTCATCCTCTTGAATGACAGAAGCACCTCAATGATAAATGTGCTTTTGTAGTTTTCTTGTTTCTTTGTTTGGATGAACTCTTTTAGGTACGTCCCTTAGCTAGTAACAGATACAAGAGAACGTAGAAAAGTTCAGCTTGTTGAACAGCCAGGCCAGAAAACAGCTGGCAGAAGCCTTCAGGCGACCAAAGCTGCTTCTGTTAATCAAGGTCGCCCGATGTCTGCTGATGATATCCAAAAACCAAAAATGCGTGCTTTATTCATGCAGAACAAGCATGGGAAAACAGGTTCCTCATCCAATGGAAGCACTGGTGTGAAAAATGGAGGGCGTAATAAGCCTTCAAGTATGACCACCAGTCTGTGTCCAGTTTCTAAAATTCATATCCGGCCGAAGATTGAGGAATACAAGAAACTTGTGACACCTCCCCCCCAAGTTTCTAGTAAGGTTGAGGGTTTCCTTGATCTAAAGAAAGAAATCAATTCAAAGGAACCCATGGGGGGAGTTTCCAGTAAAGTCCAGATCCCATGGCAGACTCCTCCAGGTACATGTGCTTTTGGTTTTTCTTTCTTGGTTGCTTTGATGTTCGATTAGTAATATCAGCGCAGGTGAGTCGATGCTTTATGGATAAAGCAAGGCAACTTTTTAAACTGTTATCTGAATCTTAATAGTGTGCAATCAAGAATTCCAGGATCATTTTGTGTGTATTGTATGTAGTTATAGATGAGATACAGACACATTTAAAATATTTGTTGTTTAATAGTTTTGGATATATGTTAATATTCAATTTCTAGTTTGACACTTTCCATTTAATTGTTCATCCCTTGATTCCCTGCCATGTCATCACAATTATTTTGGTTTTTGGATTGACCTTGTAATACAGCAAGTGGATAGCCTTTACAAATACAACATGTGTCAATGTGTATTGTAGATGCTAACTAGTTTGTTGATAAAGACTATTTTCTGTAGTTGTGGGGACGTGGATTCAAAAACTTGTTTCATGCTGTTAATGTTCTCAAGTACTTTTCACCAGGAAAGAGAGTAGTACCTGAACTGTTAATGTCTTGTGTGAAAATTCAGCATAAGATCAGAACAATACAAGTTACTTTATAAAGTGAAGTTTATGCTTACCAGGTTTTATAGCATTGGTGGGTAACAAGTGACAATGGCATCTTAACTGGACGCAGATGCTATGAACATGAAAGTTATCTATCTTATTACATAGGCACATTGATTTTTAATTCTTTCTCAATTATGGTATCCATGTACAATATGGTATCAAATCATGTCAATTGCTTCAAACCTGAAACTCCTGAATATGGTTGCTGGATTGCATTGGTGAGGACATGAAATTTAAAGGTGAAAATGATGTACTTGTGGTGTTTTTGGTTTCCTCACGAGTTTTCTATACAACCGTAAGTATTGTTCCTTATCTTGGAATTGAGCACTTATCAAGCACTATATCATGAGTGAAAAGGGGTTTGCAGCTTATCATTTTTTGGACTGGGGACTGTATATTGTCAGCATGGGGTCCAAAGAACTTGTTGCTGTACTCCAAGCAGGGAGGTTCTTGTTTCAAATTTGTAAATATATTAAACACTGCATAGAGAATCAGTTTTATGTAAGTGGATAATCAGCTTAGGCACTATTTGGACTTTGGCTAGACAGGATCCAGGACTTTCACAACAGGGTTCTTTGCAAATTGGGTGGCTGAGCTCCGTCACTTCTTGTGTCTTTTTTATTCCTCTGAAAACCAAACTGCTATCTTCAACTTCTCATGGGTTGTCCAAGATTATTTGATTTTGTTCAGGCTTTTCTCTTGTGCTGCTGCTTTCCTGTGGTATTTCTTATTAGCTCAATGCACATTCTATGGTTTTTTCAGCCTTTTATGCACTTCTCTTTTCTGCAGAAATAAAACTCAGCGTTCTCTGGAGAGTGGGAACTGGTGAAAATAGCAAAGAAGTTGATGTTCAGAAAAACAGAAACCGTAGGGAGATAGAAACCATCTATCAGACAGTCCAGCAGATACCATCTAATCCAAAGGAACCATGGGACCTTGAGATGGATTATGACGACTCATTGACCCCAGAGATTCCAATTGAACAGCCACCTGATGCTGATGTTGCAGAAACACAGGTTTCCCATACTGAACATGTAAATACAGTAGTTGCATCTGCACCTTCCCTGTCTCAGGTTGGTGGAGGGAGTGCAACTGAACCAGATCTTGAGTTGCTTGCTGTACTGTTAAAAAATCCAGAATTGGTTTTTGCATTGACTTCTGGCCAAGCTGGCAATTTATCAAGTGAAGAAACTGTGAAGCTGCTTGATATGATTAAGACAGGAGGGGCTGTTCTGGCAGGTTTAAATGGGCTTGGTGGGAAAGTGGAGGAGAAGGTTGAAGTCTCACTTCCATCGCCAACTCCTTCAAGCAACAATCCTGGAACGGTGCGTGACTTAGGCCAATATTGCAAATTTTTTTGCGTATCATTAAACTGTCGTCAACTTCCTATGGGTAGAGCTATTTGCTCTCTTGCAATTTAGTAAATCTAAATTCACAGGGAAGCATAAATTAAAATCTGAAATGGACAAAGCTCAACTTGCAATGGAAATAAAATAAAGGTCAAAATGAACTTGGGCAATTAGAGGTGTGACCAGTTGTGGAACTTGGGATTTGACCATGGGAATTGCTTGGATGTTTTCAGCAGTGTAGAAATTGGTTTTGCAGTTCTTGAACTCCTCATCTATTAGAGTTGCTATCAATGGCTGGAAAATATGGTTGAAGCATTTTTCTGCCATTGTTCATCCACTGATTATCCTATCTCCCTTTAGCTGGGAATGATGGATTGATGTGTCCCATGCTGTGAAAATTGTGCTCGACTTAAAATGTAGTGGCCCCCTCGCAGGTGTTGTCATAGGAAAAAAAAAAGTAAATAAAAATGGTATATAATTGTTTTCAGAATTCATTATATATATATATATATATATATATATATATATGATATGTGCTAATAAACACTCTCTTTGGTAACTTTGTAAAATATGCAGAGTGGATGGAGATCAGAATTTGCCAAGAATCCATTTTCCCAGCAGGCTTCAATGGGGAACAGAGTTGTATACAGTGATCCTGGAGTCCCCACCAGTGTCCCCTTAGCGGAAAAGCATACTAGCTTGGTGCAGCATCAAAATCAGGCCACTAGTATCAGAATACCGCAGCAGCAAGCTAGCATTCCATTACTATCCCAGCATGTTTCGGCAGTGATGAACCCTTTCTCATTGCCTCAGACAAGTTCCATAGTACCTGAAAACCGACAACCTTCAATAGTTCTCCCAGCAAACCAGAGTTACCCCTCAAATTCTTCAATGTTACAGACACCATCCTCAGAAATGGTTTCAACCATGAAAATTCTACCTGTTAACACCCCTCCCTTGCTAAACCTTTCAGCTGCAATGAACAACATAAAATCAACTACATCCGTTTCTTTCACATCAAATCCACAAGAGACACGGCTAGTTCCTTTTCCACCATCAACATCCACCATACCAACACAGTTACAGTCACAACCTGCCCAGATAAACGAACCTCCGATTGTATACTCCACACGGCCGCATACTGGCGATGTAGGTCCAGTGGCTGATTCCCGGAGAGTTAGGCAGGGTTTAGTCTCAAACTCCCCTTCCCAAGTTAATCAAACAAACTATGTTTCATCATTTGGAGGGCCTGTGCAGCCATCGTTGAGGTCAGGTCCTCCTTGGGAAAGAAATGAATATGTGGGTGATGCGGGTGATGAGGGTTATGAGTCTTGGAGTCCGGAGAATAGGCGTTATGAATCACAAGAGTACATGCCAGGGAGAAACTATTCAGGACCCAGATCCAGAATGAATTCAGGATGGGATTATATGCCTAATAATAATAATAATAGGTCCAGGCAACGGAATTCTTCTGGGCATGGGGACCGTAACTGGAATGGAAACAGAAGATGGCACTGATTGACTTGGAAGCTTCTTTCATAATATGGCCTGGCTTGGGCTGATCCATTGCTTAGAGTGAAAGTAATGACAGGGATTTACACGCTATAGGGTGTGGTTGTGACGAGGAGAATTCTAACAGCGAATGCAAATGTTTAGATACTCGGGATTCGATACTAAATTTTGACTGAAAGCATCTAATACTAGGACGAAGTTGCAGCTCTTGCTTTCTTCGAGATGATACTCTTGAGCATCTAGTGTCTAAAAAACTTGAGAAAAGAGATGCCTCTGCGTCATTGGGACGTGGTCTTGGTAAAGTAACTAGAATCTCCCTTTTTTATTTTATTTTATTTTATTGTATTCATTTTTCGATTTCAAGAATTTAAACAAGGATGATTTCAAAAAGATGAGTGGAAATTAAAATGCCATCCATGAGTTTGACCAATATGGACGTTTTTGTTTCGAAAAGGAAATCCTTAAGATTAGTAGACTGTCGGAGGAGGGAAAGATGGTTCCAATCGCATTGACGATGAAGTTGCAAGATGGCATGGAATTATTACAGGCTATGCACCAGCATCACTCAGGTTCAAGCTTTGGTAGCTGCAGTGCAGTGGCACCAAACAACGCGGGACACAGAATTTGAAGAGACGTCGCATAATCCGTGATTCAATGAAGTCAAAGAATATTAATCATTATTATTGTTAAAAAAATAAAAACCACCATCGAATGAGTGAAATCACAATTTAGTCATTAACATGTTACACCAATATCAATTGAATATAAAATATATTTTTTCATCAATTCGGCCTCGAACTTAATTAATACAAACCATGGGAAATATACTTCGGTGTCAAAATTTATCCTTGAAGGAGCATGTGTAGAAATGGGTTGGCACTTAAGAAGGGGTTTCTGCTTAAGCCTCTCTTTGAGATTTCAGTGTAAATAGAGAGAGAGGTTGGTTATTTGTTTAAAATTAATTTTTAATTTTTATATTGTTTTAATTTGTTAGTGTTAAAAATAAATTTTAAAAAATAAAAAATATTATTTTAATATATTTCTGATAAAAAAATATTTTAAAAAGTTATCACTTTTCAATGCACTTTAAATGTGATTCAATTACAATGTTTGGAATTCTTGAATTAAATTTAATTTAAAGATTCTAATAAAATTTGACATTTGGAATTAAGTGTTAAGAATTGAATTTTAAATGAAATTTAATCTCTAAAAAAATTATAAAAATAAAATCCAATCTTTAAAAAAATTATAAAAATAAATTAGAGGTGAGCTCTTGTCATTTAGAATTTAGAAAAGGAGAAATTTAATGTTCAAATTAGCTTTTCTAAAACATTTATTTATTATGAAACTTTTAAAGAAATAGATGAAAGAAATTATAATAATATAAAAATTAAATTAAATATCATTAAAAAATACAGCAATTGAATTCAAATCAATTAAATTTAATTACATTAAGAAAAAATGGGTTCCAACGACTAGTTAAGGCAAGAAAATCTAGCGAATATCAGCATCAAAATAATAATAGGTGCTGACCACAATAATATTTCTTCTCTCTTGCTCTCTTTCTTTTCCTGCCATGCCAAGTGCCCTCTAGAAGAAGAAGAAGAAGAGGAAGAGGAGGAATCGGAATCATATTCCTATCTCTTTGCCTATCCATATCCCTATCCCTAGCTCCTTCTCCATCCTTCATTTTTATTTTGGCCTTTGAATTTCCTTCCTTCCAAAAAACATAAAATAATGGGATTCAAATTCTACAAAAGGTTTAGTAATTCAATCTTGTTGTACAAATCATCCCATTTTATCTCTTCAGGACGCCATACGAGTGCTACTAGCAGTGCCTGTGCCAGCTTCCTACTCCAACCACCCTTCAATTCTCACTACCAAGTTAATAATAACAATAGGTATAACAACCCTCCTCCTTTCATAATCCACAGAAGGTGGCATTTTGGCCATTCTCATGCCCATCACTCTGACCACCACCACCGACCCTCTCCTGGTGAGCAAAGCGAAAGTATATTCCGTTTGGGACTCGCTGCCGATATCGGCTTGGCGGCTGGAAAGGCTTTCACTGGCTATTTATCTGGTAGCACTGCCATCATCGCCGACGCTGCTCATTCTGTCTCTGACGTGGTGCTTAGTGGGATTGCGTTGTGGTCTTTCAAAGCTGGGATGGCTCCTAAAGATAAAGAACACCCTTATGGTCACTTTTTTTAATCTGTACCTAAGCTCTACTCACACTCTCTCTCTCTCTTTTGGTTTAGGTTTTAGGCTGTAATCATGTAATTTGTTGAAAAACGATTATTAATGTCTTTTAATCCTAGCAAATCTATGCAGTAATGTCCAAATTAGTAAAACATATTTGGCTGTTTTAACTTGTCTTAGGTTGGGATTTCTTTTGCATCTGTCCTTGTGAAAACATTGATATTTTAGAGGAAGCAGAGAATAATCTAAATTTTGTTTTCCCTCTTAAACATCCAGAAAGACCTGCGCTTGTCTATCGATAAATCATCCTGGGATTGATTTTTAATTGATCCGGGTTGGTTCATTCAATCGCTTCATGATGATATATGCACATAATAAAGTTTGTTTTGCCCGTCTTGTATTGAGCACCGTTTTTGTTCTATAGAACCTTAGCTTCAAATGTGTCTTGGATACCCTTAGTAACAGCTAAATTTGATGTGCCGTATTTATTTTTGGTTCCTGAGTTTTTTTTTTTCTTCGCATAAGGTGTACAATAATCTTTTAGATTCATTGTGCATAGGGGCCTGTTTCTTGGTTTCATAATTGGTTTTCCTTCCTCTCAGGGCATGGCAAGTTTGAAACTCTTGGAGCCCTTGGGATATCTTGCATGCTTTTAGCAACTGCTGGTGGTATTGCGTGGCATGCATTAGATCTTTTACTTGTACAGTTCATTTCCTCTTGTTTCTCATCTTCATTAGCACCGACCATGAAGCTTGCCCACATTTTGGAATAAAATTACTCTACCTGCTTCACATAAACTTCATAAAGGATTTTGAATAAAAAATTGTAGAAATCAACCTTTTTCGTGTGCAGGGGTTGCTGACTGCAGTGCCTGAGGTAGCAAACCATCCATTGACCCATGAACATGTGCATAATCATCTTCAAGGTGGGCATCATCATGGGGTTGACATGGATCATCCCATCCTTGCTTTGAGTATGACAATTGTATCAATTTCTGTTAAAGAAGGGTAAGATATGTTGCATTATTTCTGGACAATCCTCTTTTGTTTCCTCTTTAGGAAGAGGTGGTTGCTTCTCTTTCACTTGCCTGTTTAATAGCCTTGAAATTATTCATTTGGCAGATATACCACGGTCTATTCAGATAATAATAACTTTATGTTGATGGACATATCCTTGAAGTCTTTTCTTTTGCAATGGTTGTGCTGTCATTGTGTGATGATGGTTTTTGAAGTGCAACTTTGGTTAATAAATCTCATTTGAAACATGTAGCCTGTTTTGCTAAATATTTCTATATACACACACCCGTGTCCATGGCTTGTAAAGGCAAAAACAACTAGGAGGTTTCTGTATTCTGTCTATATATGTATCTATGATCCTTACATCCCACTCTACATCCTTTATTTCTTGTGCATAAGATAACACTCTAACCACGTTCTGGCTTGTCTATTTCCTGTCTATAACATCTTTTCCAGCTTCCTTTTCTATTGAAATCTATGATCTTGGCTCATTTATCTTTGTGTCACCTCATGTTTTTTTTTCCTGCAGGCTCTTCTGGATAACAAAACGAGCTGGGGAAAGGCAAGGAAGTGGACTAATGAAAGCAAATGCTTGGCATCATCGTGCAGATGCCATTTCATCTGTTGTTGCTCTTATTGGTGTTGGTAAGAAGGTTTTGTTCATGTAGCTGGCATTCAGTATGGTTTGGTCTAAGTTGAACATGAAGCTAATTGTTCCAAGATATTTTAACTAAGCAGCATAATTTGTTTAAGACTTGCAGTGTATAGTTTAGAATTACTTCAACATAATGACAGTCTGTAGATTAATAATCAGTACATAATCCATTTAAAAATCTGAATTTGATTTAATGTCATGGAAGATTTGTCAAAAAACACATTATCAAGACCTCAATAAGTTTTGGATCTATAAGATTCCTAAAATTAAACTGATGTGAAAGCCGAAATCATGCTTGCAAGATGTGTTTCACTTAATTTATAAAAAAAATCTGTCTTATATACTAGGCAGCCAATTGTTATTTCAAAATTTCTTATTTTGGTGCCAACTGTTAAGTGTTTTTGAAATGTCAATGCTCGCGTGAATGATGAATAACACTTAGCCCTATTCTTTCTCATCATTCCTGCACAAAGTATTTTATGGTGCCTTTTCATAGCATATTATGACGTGAGGCTGTAACCTGGTTCATCCTATTGACTTGGGCAAAGTGCTGGCCTGCTTTTCTTCTATCTTTAGTTTCACTGAAGTGATTTATTAGTAAAACATAGGCAGATGTAAAAGCAAGACTTTGAACAGAGGACCTCCTGGTATCCTTGGCCAAATTTTAACCACTTGTGCTAACCCTTGGTACCATGGCCATTTCTATACGTCTTATAAAGCACAAGCCATATAGTGATATAGTCTGTTTCATCTTTGGAAAAACTGTTTTCCAATTCTTCTAATAGATAGGATTCGATACACTTTTAATCTTCTTGTTCTGTCCATTCATTTCTCCCAAGTGTTCTTAAATCACTGATGCTAGTTGACCATCAATTTATTCTTCATCACTTTAGGAGGGGCTATTCTTGGAGTAAAGTTCCTGGATCCTCTTGCTGGACTTGTTGTCTCGAGTATGATACTTAAAGCTGGACTTGAATCAGGGTACCAGAGGTATACCTCCAATTACTTTGACTTAATCTTTCACCTAGCATCAGATGCATTTTCTAGCGGCATGAATCTCCTTATCTGACATCATGTTATGGACAAATCATAGTGTTTTGGAATTGGTAGATGCTGCAATCCCAGAGGAAGATCTGTATCCTATAAAGCAAACAATACTACAAGTTCAGGGAGTCCAGGTAGGCATCGGGATTTTATTCCTATAAACCCTTTTCTTTTCAGAACTTCGATGGTCATTTGTTTGGTGTTCACTATTCACTTAATATTACCTATCATTTAGGCTCTTTTGGTTGCTGACATAGGTTCAGAATACTGAAAGTCGCTACTTAACAATAGTGGAAAATGCATAAGCTAATAGCTGTGAATTTCCCATGACAATGAAATTTCCTTTTAGTTTTGTCAGTTTGCAATTTTGTCCCATGTATTGAACCTAAAACTAATGGGACAGTTCAACTTTTTCAGCTCAACATCTTTGGTTGGCTGGCTTTGCATTAAATTTGATTCATAAACATAGAATAGTCAGATATGATGCTAACTGCTAATCAGTAAATGAATGTGGTTCTTCTGTACAACCATCTCCTTTGCCATGAGTCTGCTTGGAATGCCAGAGACATGGTGCCAGCTTTTGCAGCAAGAGACCTTGTAGTGCTTAACATACCTAAGAAAATTAATACAGCAGAAAATACTCTTTCAAGTTTTGCAGGTTGTCCATGAATTTTTGTTCATGCACATCCAAGTATGACTTTTAATAAGCTTACATGCTCGTTCTATCAAAACTCACACTATATAAAAATAATACACATTTGATCGCAAATATGATTACCAGTTAATAAAAAATTCCAAGGGAACTTTTTATTATTATTTGCTGGGACAGTTCGGGTGGGGGGGGGGGGGGGTT